GTGAAAATCAGTGATGACCCATCATGGCCGTGAAAACCACACCTGCAATCTGCAGATGTAATTGTATAGAAATCTCAGTTGTTTTATGACCCGTAGCAGCAGCGCTAGAAACTACTACGCGTGCAAGCTGCGTACCTACAAACGCAGCTTCTTAAGTCTCAAATGAATTACCACCTCCGTGGCAGCAGCTGTGGAAAACTCATGTACAAGCTGCAGACGTACTTCTAGCATCCCTGCAAATGCAGCTATTTAAGTCTCATGGTTTATATGGTATTATGGTTTATGCACACGCTCTTGGGAGGGAACTACTAGGTGGTGAAGTCTCATGGTATATGCACACGCTCGAGGGAGGGAACTATACTAGGTGGTGAGGTGGTTGGTTCTAAGGCCGCATACAACACGGTCGGTGATTCCAGCGTGCCGTTCTAAGGATGTAACATGAGCGCGCGCTGGACACACACACATAGAGGGCCATAGTCTGGCAGAAGGAACGAAGTGATGTGTTCGTTGAAGCCGTCAACTACATGTGTCATTTCGCGCAGATCATTTGGCCAAAGAAGATTCTGCACATGGCGATTGACGGTTGCGCTCCTCAAGACAAGATGAACCAACAGCGTGTGGCGTGTGATCACTTCAGCTCGTTGGGCGGGTGGGGGCGCAGTTCCAGAATGTAACCGTATAAGACACGGAAGTCAGAGCCCATCATGTGTCTCAAGAGCAAGCTTTCAACAATTGACATGTTTTTGGCAAACTTTTAACAATTGACCTTTTTCTTACACCGCTCAACACTGGATGCACGCTTCGGAGTAGCCAGCGAACTGCTGGCTTGGGTCTTCCACATGGTTTTCAACCATGTGGGTATATTTGTCACGCTGGGGGACGTTGATCTGCCGCGGGCTAACCGTGAAAAAGTGTGCGATTGATCGTGAAAAACTGTGCAATGACCGTGAAAAACGTGAAAATTGATAGATTGACAAAACCCGGGGTGTTCTCTTATATGTTCCCAAAGTAAGCTGGGACCAGTGTTAAGATTAGATGAAACTTGCAGACGTACCATGATAGAGTTTGTGGACTAAGTTCCTATCATGTTTTTGTTCCGAAAGCTTTTCAAAGGCACGATTGCTTTTCACGCGATTTTGTGGCGAGTGCGCCCTAAACTGCACATTTTCCTTCACCTTACTGAATGCAAGCGGTCAGTGAATCCATCCAGGTACGCTACCTGGATGGATGAAGACTTCCTTAAGAAGATTGCTAAAAGCTTCAAAATGTCAGCTGTGGGAGCTGCTCAAAGCACTGTCCTGCAGAAGTGGTTGATGGCAATACCCCGGCAGTTCCAAAGAGCTGCTGAAACTGTTTGATGTTCTTTCTAGCGTGCAGGTGTACGTGTGTAGTCGGCCATGGAAACACGGAGAATCCGGACTAATCCAGGGCGGTTATCCCATCACCGCATGACTTGAATTGTCCATATTCCAAAAAACATAGCTGTTTCCTGAAAAGGTTCCTGAAAATAGGCTTGAGGTTTGCTTCACTATACATAGGTTCCTTGTTGTTCTTCTACCACCAATACCTGGCTCAAGCATGGCTTCCAGGCCGTTGGTTGCAATAGGCAGCAGTACACCGTATAAAATAGATTTTGCCCTTGCCTCTCACCGCAAGCCTTGTGCTTCATGGTAGCGGAGAAGGGACAGCCTCTGGTTGCCTTGATTGTGGTGGCGCCTCTCTGTTTGCAAGCCTAAATCCAAACGGTCCAAACATGAATTCAATCCAAAAAACATCTAAACCCCAGCAGGCCGTGAACACCGTGAAAAACGGCAAATGACCGTGAAAACGGCAAACGAAACCGTGAAAAACGGCAAATGACCGTGAAAAATGGCAAATGACCGTGAAAACGGCGTATGACCGTGAAAACGGCAAATGACCGTGAAAAAATCCAAGTGGCCGTGAAAAAACCCGAATGACCAAAAAGTTTGAAAAATGTGTGCGAGAGAAGTATGACCATGTTTTTCGTGATCGAATGGTCCCCCAGGCCCAGTGTCCTTCGAACCGAGGAATTTCAGTTCCAAACTCAGGCAGTCGCCTCAATTGTCGGGTTCCTTATCCACCATTTGTCTTTAAGGACCTTGCGAATCGGATCAGATGGTCGAAGCAGTACCTCGAGGCTATTGCAGAGGCCGGTGTTGAGGCTGGCAGAATCCTTTCACCAGAAGCAGGTGAATGGTTTAGTGGACTTCCCCTGCATTGGACAAATTTGACCCCTGGCCTCATCAACGTCTCCAACTTCAATGCAGCATTCCCTTATGCCAGGACCAAGGCCAGGTAAACTGTGTTTCCTTTCTGTCAGGTCTTCGATTTTTGCAACGACAGGAGAACACCAGTGATTTCGCTCTTTAGCGGATGCGGTGCTCTAGAACTTGGGATGTCAAAGCTTTGTCCTCAGCTCGTGCACAGGTTTACTACGATGCTTGAAGTCCTGTATACTCTTTTGGAAAGGCGCACCGTTTCATGCTCAAGTGCCAGCAAACAAATGCAATACAAGAACCTATTGTAAGGGGGTGTGAAGTTGTAACCAATTGGTCCATGTTTTTCAAGTTTCAACGATTTTGAGACAACCGCGCATAGCCATGAAGATTTGTGTACCCACCATGCAGGCCTGATGTTTAGGTCACCTCCAGGCCTTTCTCTTGAAATTTGGTGGCAGGAGCCGGCAGACTCATCATCCACCCAAAAGATTCAAAAGCGCCCGAGCGAACCGTCAGTGGTGAGAACAGTGGGCATCAACCAAATAAGGCTTGAAAGCCATTGTGCTGTCTCCGCCGTTCTTTGATCGTGTTGCAGGGTGCCGTATGGAACACGCATCATAACCAGATGGAGAGGCAAGGAGCTGGGCACTCAGGCAATTCAGCCATGAATGCGATGGTGCCTTTCCCCAAAACCTGCCAAACAAACTGGTTCTTTTTCGCTGTTGGCTTAGATGGTTTTGGTGCCTTGCAAAGAGTGGCTTGAAGTTCCACCATCGGGGTGCTCAGAGTGTTTGCGCTGCGCATGTTGCGCAAGAAATCTCAACGCTCCATGAACTCCATGATGCCAGGCGCAAAGCAAATGAGTTCTGAGTGGGGGTCGCGAGCTGGACAGTTGAGCGCGCGCCGCTGCTATACCTTGCATGAAAGTGAACCGAGCTTCTATTATTGAGTAGTGTACATTGAGATGGAAGCTGACAGAGATGTAGGTGGCCGCGAATGTTGAACACTGAGGTTTGTTTGGGCCACTGATTACGCCTTGCCCTTGGCATTTCAATGCACTCTCGATTGCTTACGACATGAGACCTTTGCACACGGTATGAGGTCGAGATCAACGAATTCTGCAGGAGCATTTTGAAAGCCCGCATGAAGGAAAACTTCCTACACACCGCCCAAATTTGGCCGGATGTCGTCACATTCGAGGCTTCGCCTGGCACAAAGGCCCAAGGATGCGGTGGTGGCTTCCCCTGCCAGGCGCAACTCCTTAACTTGTGAAATCGGGTCCACTTTGCTGTAGACATAGTGCATCTTGTTTCTAGCAGCTTGTGTGAGTGTGGGGTGATGCAATGCTTTTCTTGCCGAATTTCAGTTTATTTTGCCGCCTTGTTCTTGTCAGGGATCTCATGTGGAGGATCACAGGCAGGACTTGAAGACAGCCGATCCAGCCTTCTGGTTCATTGCTTTCAAGTTTTCGATAGCCTTCCGCCCCAGAGAAGGCTCGGTCTGGCCTTTTGTATGACGTGTTTCCATTGTTTACTATTGATTGGCTTCAGCCAGGAAGTTTCTGTATTTAGAGAACGTCAAATCCATCCTGTCGAAGCAGTCTGAGATGCAGAAGGTCATGAAATACATAATCCAGGTGGGGATCACTGTCATTTTTCAGCTTTCCAACAAACCAGGTTGGCGTAACCGGTTTGAAGTATTTTTAAGAGGATTGGTATTTTTTCCGGACAGGAACGCAATCGGCGCAACTTGAAGCTCTTCTGGAGCAGTGTGGCTCTCCAGGACGTTGGCTTGCCGGCCCGAAGCTCACACCAGTGTCAATGTCAGATTCAGCTTTAATTAGCTTCCTACAGAACTCATTCTGTTCTAGTGAACTCAAGCCTCATCAAAATTGTTTCAAAAGGAAAGAGTGTGGAATTCGGGCATGAGGCGCAACGCAAGCGTGTATTCTTTTGGGCGATTGCTCCTGGAGTGACTTTCTTTCAGGACGGGGGAGAGGTATGAGACTTATGCTTTTTGTTTTGCATCCTTGCGCTTTGTGTGCAGGACATCCCATTGCAGCCATTAGGTTCCTTCCTGGAGCCTCACTTCAACGCCTTGAATACTGTAGGCATGGCAAAGTGGCTGTCTCATTCGGAGAGTGAGGACTATGAGGCCAGAATGAAGGTTTTGGGCAATCTGGTTGTTCCATCCTGCGCGAATCTCGGGTGCGCTATTTTGCAGCAGATGGCTCGTGAGTGGTCCAACTCACAGAGCTAGCAGCTAGAGGTGCATGAATGTTTGCTAGGTGCTTCAGCTGGCCAGCAGCTGGTACAGGTAATTTGTTCTGCGCAATTGGCGCCCACGTGTTTGGACTCCGGACTTTAATTGTTTGGTCTAAGCTGACACGTGTCGCTGTAGATTTGACGAGGTGGTTCGCACCCCTGCTTGTGAAAACATTGACCGGCTTCTGATGCTCGATTCACAAGTCTAGTTGTGAAGTTTTGATTCAGCGAAGTCGTGCAAGTTGTGTGAGTGTAGCCTGCCTTTTCCCATATCTCATGGTTGTTGATAAAAGGGGTCGACTGGGTTGCAGAGAAGTCTTACCACGAAGCATGCGTTGCAGGGCTCCAGGTGTTTTGGTTTGATTGTAGCTTTCTGCGCATTCTTGCATTTTGTAGCTATATGGTTTATGATATCTATATTATACATTGAGTATCTAAATATGTACGCATATAATAAATATATATATATAATATATATACTGGTTTTTTACAAGTGATGGAGCCAGCGATTCCAGCTGTGAATGAGCTCTCTTCAAGCTCGTCGGAACCTGTGGAAGCTGCGGGCTCCTCGGGGCGAGGGCGGGGGCGAGGGCGAGGCCGCAGTTCAAAGAGAAGGCGTCAGTCTACCCCTAAAGCGCAGCCTGCGATCGATGATGCTGCTCGTGTACAATCCATGCTGTCCAAAACTTGTCGCAGTAAGGGCACTTCATCCTGCCGTGACCACTTCCGGACCAAAAATGGTGTGCGTGAAGTGATCAAGTTTAGAGAACAGTGGAAAGGCTTGCACAAAGTTGATCAAGACGAAGTGGCGCCCCTGCCGCGACCAGTGTATTTTTTTTGACTCCTGTCATGGAGTCACATTTTCAGGAGGTCAGTTGGGTTTGTTCTCTTTTGCGTCGATCGCAGTTAACAGGTCTGACTTGTGCATTTTCTTTTGGACTTACATTGAGATTTTTTGCATTCGTATATACCTCGGTCAACATTGCCTTTCACATACTGTAATATACTTCTTCAAATTCTTGAGATTTCTTGAGTCTCCCGGCACCCCCAATCCTCAAGGCTTTTGAGCGAATTCGGTCCGTTTGCCAAGATGAACGTGGTGGAGGTCGCAAGCAGTGGCGCTTTTTAGGCCAAGATGTGTGCGTTCGATGCTTCAAAGCTTTGCATGCCTTGGGTGCCTGGATTGATTGTCAGGTTTTTGTGTTGCTCTTTGGAAGGATCCTCATAGTATCTTGCTTTGGGTACATCCTTCGTGCCTTATCGCTCCACTGAATCTTCATAGTATATGGTTACCCGTGCCAACAACAAGTTATATCTTCGAGCAGTTAGATGGCAAACCCCACACACTGGCATAAGGCACAGGGAGATTTCAGCGGCTCATGACGGCAGTTGAAGCAGGGGAACGAAAACCGCCTGCAGATCTTCGCTATTTAAGCAAGTCTGCGCAACACATTCTCAACCCGGAGAATGAGGAGTTGAAATCTGGAGTGCTTTCATTTCTTGAAAGCATTTATTCCTCGGTAGCCGAAACGCTGCCCGATGTCGGTGACACTATCACCGACATTCTTCCGGAGGCTGAGGAGCCAGACCCAGATGATTTGGCTTTAACCGGCTTTAACTTTGGATGCTGGATTCAAAGTGAAGGGCAAGAAAATGAGACATGGAGTTCAGATCGCTCCGGGTAGAACAGTGAAAGATGGATGTGAACCAAACTTTTTGCCACCCGGCTCTGCCAGGGACTTGGCAGCGCTGGCCGACGAGCAAGCTTTCCGACTTTTTGGCGGCTTTGTGCAAGCCACTACAGCTTCATGCGGTTCCGGGCAGTTTCGAGCCACCACCAATGTGACTTGGCCAAAAGCTAAGAAAGGACAGAGTAGTAGATGGATTGATGTCAATGGCATTGTGCTTGCCACTCCCCAAGTTTTGGCATTGTTGCCTTCCAGGCTCCGAGTGTGTGAAACACAAGGCGCTGATCGCAAGTTTAGCGGGTCATCTAGCCGCACGGCAGATGCAGCAACGCTTGCTGTATGATCACCAATGTGCCCAGTTTCGTGACAGATGCACCTACTGGCGCATGCGGGGCCAGTCCCGAAACAAAGGGCTCGACATAGTTTGGATCCAAGATGGCATGGACCAATCAAAGTTTGCGTTACCGAGAGGATCCCAAATGAGGGCAAAGCGCTTCGAGAGCATGATGAGGCCAAAACTGCATGTGGTTGGAACTCTATGCCATGGACACCATGTGGGACTCTATGTGAGCGAATTCAACCTGGCGAAAGATAGCAACACCTCGTGCGAAGTGTTGGCCCACACACTTCATACGCTGGCTGAGTCCGGAGTAGATATCTCAGCTTGCCGCGTTGTTTGCCAAGCTGACAACACGTGTAGAGAGGTCAAGAACGGAATTGTAATGAGGATGATGGCTGCCCTCACCTCCGATGGCATCATCGGGGAAGGGCAGCTCTCATTCCTCAGAACGGGCCACAGTCATGAAGACGTAGATCAGCTTTTCGGAAGAATAGCTGACTACGTCAAGACCCATTTGAGAAGCGCCCAAAGTTCTAGCGACGTTGTGGAGTGTTTGGAATCCTTTGTGAAGCAAGTCGACCGACCGTTCGAGCGGAAGCGCTTCGTTGTTAAGCTGGACGCTACCCGGAATTGGTCCTCCTGCTTCTGTTTGAGCGCTCAGCTTTTCTTTTTTTGGTCGGTAATTGATCGTTCATGCCTTGCGCTCATTGCGGCGCTGTATTCTGAGGCGAGGATGGTGCGATACCTGTTCAACTCGTTGGAATCGGGGGGCCAGGGGCCCCCCATGTACTGCATTTTAGCAGGAGGGTTCAATCAGGCGAGCTGTTTTGTTCTTTTGAAGGTTCAGATTCAGCTCGGCTGTCGGGTTGCGAGGCTTGGAGAGCAGGCCCGAATTAATTCAGAACCAATTCTGGCGGCGCTGCGTTGAACACCCACACGACATCATCCTGAGGCGCCTTGAGAGTGTCGTTAGTCAGGCGAACGTATATGATTGTATTCGCGTTTACTGTCGTTGCAGGACCAAACAGTGGATGCACGAAGCAGAGTTTTCTCACAACTTCTTGTTTCTCCCCCGGATGGCAGCTCTACAGACCTTGCCTGTGGGACTCCCAGCAGGCTCACTCAACGCTGCAGTTTTCCAAACAGGGCATGAAAACAGACCCCACGAAGTCCCCCTTGATTTCCTCAAAAACATGCATGTTTTGCAATTCTCAGGAGACTTGCTGGGGTCCGTTTCATGGCCTATAGCATTCAACGTCCTTGCAATCGGTGGGTGTCGTTGAACATTTTTTTTGGAACGTATATAGCATATATATTCAGACACGAAGTTCAAAAAGGTCGCTCAAGTTGTACTTGTTCTTGTTCATCTTACATGTTGTAATTATGTTCCAACCTCCAGTTCTTGCAGTCACTATTGTTGCTGTGAGGCACGGCTCCGCAGAATGAGATCCCCAGTGACTATGTAGAGCACATCCAGAAATATCTTCCGATTTTGAGACAGCCTGCAATTGGGTTTGGTCGCGCCGCCGATTACCTTGAGAATTTGGTTTCCTGCGCCATGCCCCGATGCCCATTGTTGGATGTTTCAAGGACACTTTGCCAGCTAGTAGCTGATGTTTGTGTTTCCTAGAACTTGTTTGTTGCCAGGGATTGGGCACGACTAGCTGTCATTGTCTTCCGGCAGTGCCTTTTGAAAGGATTCGGCTGTGTCGAAGCCGTGAAGATCGCCGAAAGGGAGAACTATTCTTCAGGAGCCTTTTTGGAGATTTGGTGAGATGTTGATGCCGTGGAAAACGCTTATTGGCAGGACAGCTAGTTTTGATGTGCTGCCCAACCGTTTGAGGTCTTTTCCTCAGTGTTTCAAGCAGCAATTGGTCTGGTGTGCTTGGGCTTTTGTCGGGCTTCACTGACTGTTCAGTCATTGACTGTTCAGGCTATCGGCTCTCTAACCACAGGAAAGAGACACACGCTTACCGAGAGCGTTGTGTGTTCCAAGCCGCCGCCAAAATTTGGGTTGAGGGGGTTCCTTGGGAAGAGGCTATGGATATGTCACGCAAAGCGTTGGCAAAAAGCGACCCGCCTCCAAAAGGTAAGGGCAAAGCAAAAGGAAAAGGAAAAGGTAAGCGGAGAGTTAAGTAGAGTTGGAAAGTTGAAAGAAGAGTTGCAGGCCGGTGTTTTCTGTCTGCCAGCTGTTAAAAACAGCTGTGCGCACCGCTTGTGGCCTTTCAGTTTTTGCTGTACAACGGCAATGTCGTTCGCAGGTTCATGCAAGTGCTTTGTGGCTGGCTGAATCCGATGATAGGCTATCTATTCATCAGTCATCAGTTTTGGTCAGTAGAGGGTGCTTGGAATGTTTGACAGGCCGCATCCAATACATAAAAGAAATGCTAGAAGTGAGAGAGAGAGAGACAGAGTGACATGAATCAGTTAAACCCAAAACCAAACCCTTTAAAACCAACATGTTTGAAGGTTGGTTTTGATGTGTTTTTGTTGGTTTCCAACCGCTGCGGATCCTAAATTAAAGCAAGAGACCCCAAAAGGTTTGTTCCCTGCAATCTTGTGGGCTCATGAAGTCAGAAGTATTCAGAAATCAGAATTTTTCTTGAACGGGCTAGATATTTGGGCCATGTAAATATTTTATATATATTGACCCCTAGTTAGTCGGCTGTTTGTACACTACCCTACTGAAGGCGGGTTCCTAAACCCTAGGGTTAAAAGGGAGCGGCATGGTAGTTAGCTGATATGTGGCCAGGGGTTGGAAGTTGGGTGTGGTTGTTAGTTGAACTAGGGGCAAAGAATCAGACACTCTCTCAGTCTCCTTTGCTGCACTGCGGAAGCCACCGATCCCAGGTCACATCAGTGGCTTCATTCAATTTCAGGCAAAAAGGTTCGGTGACCAAAAAATGTAAGGTTATGAAAAATACTTGGCCCAAGGCTTGGAGCCACCAATGTGACCTTGGATTGGTGGATTCAATGCTTCTGTGACAAGCCGCCTCAGAGTGTCGGATTTTTTCTGCGCTAGCCAGCACAGTGTCGGATCTCACCCGCGATTGGACACTCCAGGTGCCCGTGACGGTTCTGAATGTTGCAAACCCACAGAGTGTCGGATTTTTTTCTTCGCAGCAGTCCGGAGTGTCGGATTTTTTTATCGCAGCAGTTCAGAGTGTCGGATTTTTTTCTCGCAGCAGTTCAGAGTGTCGGATTGTTTTGTCGCCGAACTCCGGAGTGTCGGATTTATGCGGGGTACGGTCCTGTTGCGTCGGATTCTTTCCTTCGCAAGCAGCCGGAGTGTCGGATTTTGTGTGCGCCAGCGAAAAGAGTGTCGGATTTTTTGAAGCAGGTTTGCAATATTATAGCTCCCCGTTTTTCAGACATTCTGACATTCTTGAAGCAGTTTTCTTGTAGTTGTTTGTGTTATCGCTTTGAGCTGTCATCGTCAGGCAAAGTTTTGGCTTGAAATTGAGGGGCAGTTGATTGAGCTGCAATGGCCCCAAAACGGAAATCTGTTGGTGACAAGAAGGATAGTAAGGTTGCGGGGAAGGTGGCTAAGGTTTCTCCTGGGCCAGACGCGGCTGTGCTCCCTGCAGAGCCTGACAAACACGCGTGGATTGGAAAGCTGACGCACTGGTTACTTGCCAGCCTGCCCCAAAGATTTCAATGATTTGCTCGTGCTCTTTTTGTGTCCTCGTCCTTATGACCAGTTTGTGAACCTTCAGGTTGAGAACCGCGGTTCTTGCAAAAGGATCACCTGATGAGTATTTGACCCACACATATCCAAATGAGGCCATCTATTTGCCGCGCTCGCTTTGATTCAAAATTGAGTCGCACTCCCAACGACTGTTGCAGGATGCCCTCATCAGCTTTGCCAGTTGGATAGACAGCTTTTGTCCCGCTGACGGGACGCACTTGGCCAAGAGCATAGATTTGAGTCTCCTTCAAGGCAGATCTACCTGACGGAGAAGAAGCATGGAGGCTTGATTCGCCCGTGGCAATGTGGCTGGAGAGCCGATTTCGGCATTTCGGGTATGGTAGACCCCGAAGTTGCAGAGACGCTCATGGAATTGTACCTTCAAGAAGGGTTACCTGGCTGTTGCCTTTGTGTTGCGCTGTCCTTTCTTTGTGTGTTCTGCCCTCTTCACGTGCCCAGATCTGCGCTGCAGGTTCTTGACGGACCCAAGGAACGTTGGAACCGAGCAAGTAGCGGCGACGGATGTGCCTAAGGAATTCCTCGAGAGCGAATACAAGGAGTGCAGAGCTTTGGAAGGACACAGCTTCTAGGAAGCATTCGACCTTTATGGTTCTTTTGCAGTCACAGCCAACAAAGAATAGATTGAGTTCAATCCGTCCCAGGTGACCTCTTGAGGCCATTTTCAGTGGCCTACATAAAAGGTTACAAACGATGCCTGGTTCTCTTGATCACTTTGCAAGGGATACGGGAATTGGGTCTTGAAGGCCATGTTGGGTCGGCTATTCGCGCGCCTTGCAGTCAACCATGTTCTTTGTGCATTTGTTGCGCGGCAATGAGTTGCTGGTTTGTAGTATCATTGATTATATTCAATTCAGTTTTTGACTGAAGGCAACCTTTGGCACCATCCATTGCAATTTCGGATGCTTCAAGGATGTCAAGTCGCAGGTGATGGCAAATCGAGGTGCGGAAACACAGTAGATCCTTTCGAGAAATTACGCTGTTTGTTGGCAGGCGTCCAATTGGCACAGATGGCCACAAAGCGGCAGGTGCACTGCTTCAACCTGCTGCGCCAAACGCGCATTTTGTCCCGCGCTGGCATTTCTTCAGCTGCTGTGCAAATGAAGGAGAGGGTTCCATTGTCCAAGAATAATGACAAAAGGTGTTTGCGTTGACTGTTGGTGGTGTCAGGATTGGGATACCGCTGCCGGAGTCGCCAGGGCCTTTAGCATCGGCCGTGCTGAAAGTTCTGCGCTGTTTCAGCTCTTGACAGACGTTCCTGACGCGATTCGCGCCAAACTCGAAAGCTGCGTCAAGACCAGGGGCATGACAAAATTTCTCAACCACGACGTCATTGGTAAGGGGACTTTCTCGGTTGGCTTCTCTTCAGCGGGAGGAGCAATGGAAGGGTGGACCGACGCCCTCACCAATCGAAAGGACAACCTGGACCTGGTAGCTTGCGCCAATCGTGGAAACTTTTGGAGTTGGAGCAGCCTCCCTTTTTTCCAGCCACCATTTTTAAAATCAAACAGTGGCTTGTTTCATGTTGTTTCAAGATCCTTTGGGGTGCAAACGGGTTTGATTTGGCTGAGGTATCACTATATTTGCAACGAATTGTGAGCGATCATGACTCTACGCCAGAACCGCTGCGCAAGGCGCTGTCCTTCAAGGAAGCGACGCGGTTGCACCAGGCTACCGGGTGCTTTCTCTTCATGCTGGATGCGCTTCAGAAAATTGCGCCGGCAAGCCGGTTTGGTGACATGAAGACTTCCTTGGAGAACCAGTTCTTCATGAAGTTCATGGATGGTGATTTGGTACACTGCTTGGAAGAGCGAGTTCCGCTCAGTGCTGATCTGACTATGGTGTCCGCGTTCAGGCTGGGTGCAATGATGACGCAATCAGTAGTTAGAGCTGGATGCGATTGGGGTTATTGTTGAAGCAAATTTTGCATGCAACGCATTGCCTTGTCAGCTTTAACCAGTTATTGAAGATCATGCCACCTGCCAGGCCTTTGAAAGCGCAAATTGAGCAAGGCCGAGTTCAAGCGATCGAGGAAGAAACTGTCAGGTTGCGAGCAGATGTGGCCAAAGCCAACTTTGCCCAGGTCAAAACCTTGATTGAGAGGGATATGCAGACCCTCAAGGACAAACTTCCAGGAGCCCAAGATTCAGCGAGAGAAACTGCTCTGGACATGAAGTACATTCGTGACAGGCAAACGATCCTAAGCCTTTAAGCTGAACAACGTTTTTTTCTTATTGGTTGTGCTACGCGTAGCTTCCTTTTGGATTACTGTATGCTTTTTAAGATTTCCTGTCCAAGCCACACAGGAAAGGGCGAGCTTATGCTGCTGAGTATATGCAAAACAACTGCTTCATCTCTGATGTGGGCGAGGACATGGAAACGGCAACGCCGACCTTCTTGCAGTTCATGGATGGTTTGCGGGGCATCAGCGGAAGTGCGCATTTTGTCGGTGAATATGTGCCAAAGGTTCTTGTAGTTGCGATGGTGGTTTTTGAGCCATACTAAATTAAAGGCCAGAAGCCAAGGCATGTCAGCGCCTTCATGGACATGACCGTTTATCCAGCTTGTGCCAGTTACGTCAAGAAGGCTTTCGAGAATTTGGCAGCGATTTGTGCAATGAGCAGCCACAACTGCGGCTTCATCATGATGCCGGTGCATCAAAAGCAAACTACAGAGTCGGCCGTTCTGAAGCATCGTAGGTCAATAGAAGAGTCCTTGATGAAGAACAAACTCACCGTGGCCTGGGAGGTACGCTTGCTGTTCAGCAAGCCTGACAGCATCAGGAGTGATGGCAGGGCAATGAGTCAACTATGTTTGGTGACGGTTGCGACCACTTACAAGGACTCTTCGCCTTGGCTGAGCTCATCCGCCATTACAACCGGTCGCCTTGGACCTGTGCCGCTGATCCGAATCAGCGAGATGTTGGGGTTTGATGAGGTGGTCAAGCCATCGGCCTCGGCGCGAGTTGAGCAGAGTCTCGTTCTGTTGGCGGTAAGTTTTGAAGTTCCGATCTGATTCTATTTTGTTGATCGGTTTTTGTAATTTGGGATTCGGGATTGCTCAGGAAGGGCGTTGAATGCTTCAAAAAGATGTTGGACGGCTTGATGGATGGCGTTGAGATTAACTCCGCGGACCGTTGGGTGGTGCTAGACATCATACCGAACAGGAGGGGTGCTGTTGAATGACATTGAATGATCAGCTTGCTGCCCGGGTGTTTGTTCTGCCCTGATTTCATTGTTCCCGGAAGGAATGCAGAAGTGGGGCGGGCCTGTATTCAGAAAGCTCTGTCTGGAGAGAATGTCCTGTATGTGGGCTGGCTTCGATCAGACCATTTCAAGGATTGCCGGAATGCATTGGAAAGCCTTGCTTACGAGCATTGGGATGGCGACTCCGAGCTTTCCCCGCCGAAGACGAGACCTCGTGACACCGGGGCCCCTTGCGGCTCGATTTGGAGATCCTCGCCATGCAAGATGGTCAACCGGTCTTTCCTGAGAAGGTTCTTCTTGAACGCTTTTCTGAAGGTAGCGAGTACCAGGCAGAGATCAAGAAAATGCACAAAGCTTTCAAGGAGCAATATGGGCATCGCATTCCATCGCCTGCTCCTTCTTCTGGGCATGGTGACGGTGCCCGCGCTTCTGGTGTGTGCGATTACTCCATTGAAGGGCCTCGACCCATTGACACTGCTCGGAATTGTAAGCTACCATGTGTGCCCATTGCTGATTTTGGCAGTGATGACAGGACGTTCGCTTAAAGGTTTGTGCTCCACATTGTGAACCTGTTGGTTACATAATGTTGTGAACATGAGCCTTTAACTTTGCAGGAAGCTTGGCTCCTTGGTGGGCCGCGCAGGAAAGCCTACAGTTGTGATTGACCGGGATTTCAAGATATGGCTGTTCAATCCAACCGATACTGTCATGAGTGTGACTACTTCGGAGTTGTTCGGATTTGGGACTGGCGCCTACAAGAACCAAGTCGTCAGCAGCTTGTCATTGTGCAGCCCAAAGGTCTTCGCCTGGTAGTCGCATTTTTGCCCATGATTGTTCCTCGCGGTCCCTGCGGCCTGCACGTTTTTGTTATCAGTTATCTCAGGCAATGTTGCCGAGCCCACTGGCCTTGTTTGGAGGTTGAGCAGCGACCGGCACTTGGTGAGCCTGGACAAGAATCCCGTGGCCCTTTGCCAGTTGCTACGGAACATGGCGGTGGATGATGGGCTAGCAGATGTGGATGTGGAGTTCCATACGTTGATCCCGAAGATGCATCCTCCAGAGGTCCGCACCGTTCAAATTCAATGATTTGTTTTTGTTTCAGAAATGAGTCACATGCAAATCAGGCCGGTGCTGACCCCATTCCTGTGAGTTTCAGGCGCGCGCAGTTCAACGCCGTGACTGTCCTTTGTTTGGTTTCATGCGGCCGTCGCAGGTGGGATGTTGCCCCATTGACTTCGCAAGGGACATGCATCTTTGTTCCGAATGCTGCAGAACCGGGAAGCGAAGTCTTGACGAAGAAGGTTGCTTTTGGATTGCACTTCACCGGCAACTACCACAAAATCCCATCCAACAGCGTGGTGTCTCTCATGTGGGAGGCCAATACTTCCTTGTTCTTTGTGCTGCGTTGCCATCGTCGTAATTGGCTGGTTGAGGTTGGACCTTTTTTTTGAACATCATTAATTCTTGCTTCCCGCAGGTGGGGACCAGCACATCTCCTCCGAAACTCTTGCCTTCGAAGCCAAAGGTATATCTTGTTTGCAGCCTGCAAATCCCTGCGCAGTGCTGTGTGAACCTTTGTGGCGCTGAAGCGTCGTAGAGAATTTTGTTTGAGCATTAGTGTGTTGCGACAACCTGTCAGCTCTTAAGTCTTGCAGTGCAATCTTTTCCGCAATGCGCTGGTGAGCATTGTGTGTTGCCTCGCCCGAGATACGACGCAACCAGTCATTGACGTGAGAGAACCACTTGTTAAATAGCTGTCATGATAGCTATGGTGTTGTTCAGAATATGAAGCTTTTGCACGGGTGAGGTATTTGTTCTCACTGCTTCAGTGACACTGAGCCGGCAGTTCGAAGTTGCTTCCAAAAAGATCCAACAATGTAGCAATGTTGACAATTTTGTCCACAGTCATTATTATGTTGAATTTTACCTAATCTTTTTGCGTTCGGTTGTTCTGTAGGAATGCGCCGGTCTGATTGAAAGGCTGTTGGCCCGAACTGACTTGCTAAGCGGTGTAGGATTGTATTCTGACAACCTAGTATGCCGCTGCTCAGCACGGTCGATCAGTTGAGTGCCAGCTCTGCAGAGGAGAGCTTGTGTTGTCGTTTGCCCTGCTGTTCTTGTGCTTGCATCCTTGACCGAAAGGCCGTTTTGTGTGCGCTGGTCAGGAGACCAAACAGGATGCTGCACCAAAACCTCAGCGTAAACCCAAAGCAAAACCCAAGCTAAGTCTTCCCAAGAAGAAGGCTGGGGGTGCGGCCACTGAACCTGCAGATTCAGAGCCAAAAGTTAAAGCCAAGGCAAAACCAAAGGACCTCTGCAGCCCCCTCAGCGCCTTCGGCAGAGACAGTGCAGCCGGAGACACAAGATGAACCAGAGCCACGCAAAAAGCCGTCTATGAAACGACCCAGTGCCAGCACCGAACATGGAGGTAGGGGTCTTAAGGTGTTTCCTGTTTGCTTGCGGCAGGGTGGTTGAAAAGCGCCAGGTATGCAGCCTGACCAGAAGGTTTGTCGTTGCTACTAGAGCCACTGCAATTCATTCGGTATCAAGGTGGGTGACAAGCAGGTGTTCAGCGCCCTTTGGCTCACATTTGCGCTTGCTGTTTGAATCTGGTGGTCATACTGTTGCGAGTTTTCGTTGTTGGGTGTTGCCTTTCTTCGTCCAAGGTAGGCGGCCAGGTGTACCCCAAAGACAAGTTGGAAGAAATCGCTGTGCCTAGTAGGCAAAAAGTTTGTTTCAGAGGGGCGGCCGTGTTATTGACATTTTGCACCACACCTTCGAGGACAAAGCAGTGGACATGTTGAAGAACAAGACCCCTGTACCAACTGTCAAAGCCATGTGTGAAGCTTGTCGCCCATCATTAGTTCGTATTGTTTCATCATGGCTCAATTCTTTTGTGAATTTACGAGTCAGTGTTGGATGCAATTTTACAGTCATGTCGTGATTAAGGATGAAATGAAGGTGGCCGCGCTGGACAAAATGATTGCTGAGCAAGAAGGCACCGATAAAGTGATGCCAAATTCTCAGTTGGACCCTCCAGAGGAGGGGGAGGCTCCGCAAGAAGAGCAGGAGGAAGAGGTTCCTGCTCATGATGTGGAAGTGGAGCCGGACAATGTTGATTAGATTGGACCGCAGTCAGCAGCCGGCGTTAGGGAAAAGGGAGCTGTGTGTATTTTGTTGCTGGTGGGGGGTTGTAATTTACACTCTCTTGCGCGCAACTATTTGATTTGCCACAGAGCTTGCCGATGAGAGCTGTTTCTGCATGTCGATGCATCGGCTTTTGCGAAGGCTTGCCGTCAGTATTCGCAACATTTTGTCCACGAGGAGGCAAGGTTTCCGGCGTAATGTTGACTCCAATTTTGATTTCTTTTGTGCAGTTTGTATGAAATGGAAATGCAAAGGCGTTCGTGAACTCTTTGCGGTTTGATGCTGCTTCGCCCCACCCTTGGCTTCTTTGGTCCAATAGTGAAGAATGTCGGTCACTCGCCCTTCTTGTGAGGCCACTGTCCTTTTGAGAATGATGGCGGGCTTAGTTCGATTACGGGCCGGCTTGTCGAGTGAAAGTGTGCTTTTGGAGCCTTGATCGCTTCTGGACTAGTTAAATCATGCGGTTGAAATCATCAACGGGCTTGATTTCAGAGACTTGTGGCTCACCAACAGATTGGTAGTAGCTCGGCGGTATCATGGTTTCTACAAAGTGGTTGCAATGTTTGCGTCGGGAACGGGAATCATGGCTTGCAAAACACCAGCGCTTCACGAAGAGGAAGAGATCCCAGCAATGAAGAGGAAGAACGCCACATTTTTTGAAGATGATGGCCAGTCTGAGTCTGAGATGGAAGACAACATGGATTGGCTTCCTTCTTGGCCAGTAGTTTGCTTTCCTGGTGACATTTCTCACCATGTTAATTTTGCTCTGAAAGTGGGCCACCCGGTGATTTTTGCGGACCGCCATGCCCGCATAGACTTTACTTCTTTGCCAGACTCCTTGTATGAATGCCGTTGCAAGTATTGTTCCAATCCCGGTCCCACTGTTGATTCTGCGTTTTGATTGCTTTTGAATCGCGGGGCGCTGTTATGATGGTTGAACGCTGGGGCATCCAGATTCCAAGACAATGACATTTGGAGTCTGCTGGGAGTGTGGGGAAAAAGAATTGCAGACTCTGTTTGTTGCGTGATGCGTGCAACTTTTCAATGTTTAATGGACCAGACGGTCTAAGTGTCGCTTGCCCATTTTGGGAGCACGGCGACAAACAAAAAAACAACGACTTCCAAAATCTTAAGCGCAACACGTGGCCCAGC